TGTTATTTTTTGCAAATATATGATTATTACATAAGTTTTTTAAATTTATTAATTTATCATAGTATTCATTCTTCAACTTTTTTTAGGACTAATTTTTATTGGGTTTTTACGTTTTTTTTGGATTGTTATTTGATTTTTTATTTTCAAGCAATAACTCCATTTCTCTACATTGAAAATGTTTATAAGGATATGTAATGTAAAATCCGTCCATGTCGATGATGTATCTAAATTTTTTAGATTTTGTGTCATTTTGAACCAAAAAGTTGAAAGTGACACGTGACTAAAAATATGTTTGTTCCAACAAACTTCACATAACAATGCTTCATTACTTCCCATCATCCCATCTCTTCCTTCTGCTCTTGTCTTCCTGTAATTTAAGTAAACAGAATCACATTCACTAATGATCAACTAATGACTGTCATTGTTAAAAAGCTATTTTTTAACTTTTTCACTTTCTGCTATTGTCTTTGTATTCAGTGCTAGGAAATGTCCGCCGTGCTCCCTCAATGCGTGTTGGCGAACTTCACATGCCTTCGAAATTTTCTCAGACATGCAGGTGTCCTCACGATGTTTTCCTTCACCGCTGAGCACGTGGTAAATCAGCACTTGAAATTGCAATTAACAATTTAAATGGTGCCGGCGGGGATCGAACCCGGGTCGTGTACTGTGAAATTTACAGCTTGCGCTCACAATCTGAGCTACCACGGCTTAATCATATACACACATAATATTTAAATATAATTTGTTAACACTAAATCACACACACGTAAGAAAATAACAGAAAGAAAAGTAAGTTTGTCAATAGAATAAACAATTACATCCATGGCCTTTGATGCGTTGAAGTAACACAAGGATTGCGGTCAAACGACCATACACTAACTCCATGACTGCAGCTGCTCGGTCTTATATAGTACCAGTAAGTAATAATTCTAATCTAAAGAATTTCTGCAGTGGAACTGATAGTACGAGTAACTTTATGCGTCAACAAGCTTATCTCCACATTCTGTTGCTTTTCTCAACATTCCTTCGTGTTGCGTCTCGTTCAGTGTATTGATGACTCAAATACGATTTGTATAACACAAAAGAATGCAATTTAATATTTAGAAATCACTATAATTGATCATTCCTATGTTAGTCATCGAGTAGATTGGTACTGTAATAATCTACTAATAGCAGTAATATCATGGATACACTAGATGTACAACAACATCACCCTTCATTCATCCCAGTCTAGAAAATAATGTTTATGCTGCTAATAGACTGCCCATGTATACCCACGTACCAACGTATATAATATGCAATTTGGATACAGATGATAAACCAGGGTCACATTGGGTAGCTTTATATATCGATACGAATGACGTCAGTCAATATTTTGGATTCATATGGACGATCACCTGTACGATATCATCTAGAGTTTTTAAAAAGGAATTGTAAAAGATGGAACTGGAATGTTGATAGGATTCAGAATGAGTGGACTTCAGTTTGTGGCGAATATTGCTTAATGTATTTGCTATATAAGTTTCAGGGATGTTCAATGCATAGTTTTACGAGTATATTTACAGGGAACACATTGTACAATGATATTTTAGTGGATGAGATGTTTCGCTCCTATTTTACAGACAATAAGTAATAAGATTTTGTATTTTGTAAATAAAAATTGTAACAAAATTAGGTAATGTGTTTTATTGATGATTCAGATTAGCGTTGTAGATAGGAACAAAGAAGAGTGTAATACAATAGCACTGATAAGCCGACGCATACGCCGAGGAAAAATAGACAATGACGGTATTCAATGAATAATAGATAAATAGATAAGAAAAATGGGGCGCTAATGACGGTGGAGGCCTCAGTGAGCCAGAAGTGGTACTACCTAACTACTAAAGTGGATCATCTACGACAAGAACGTGCGAAAAAGATCATGGTCAAAGGGCAGTCAAGCTGTACAGACTGTAGGGAAACCCGGATTAACACGCAATAAGGTGGGATCGGAAGGGCATCGTTCATTACAAGCTTTTACCGCCGGTCAACAACCAACAACAAATGAGACTCAAGCAATAAATTGAGAAAAAACTGCCGGAATTATCAACAGAAAAGGAGTGGTCTTTCATCATGATAACGCCAGACCACATACTTTTTGACCACTCAGCAAAAATTGCGAGAGCTTGATTGGAAAGTGTTAAAGCATCCACCAATAATTCTGAGCTCAGATTTTCATCTGTTGCGGCCTCTTCACAATTACGAGGGGTGATCCAAAAGTAATGATAATCGGTTACTTCAGGTCCCCATAAAAATCCAAAACAAAAATATTTTTTGCTTGCTTATATACTCACTACGTCAGCCTAAAAAATCATATAAATAGATCACGATTTCCGGGAGATACATTCATTTGAACACAAACTGTCAGAGATAACATCAACAACATGGAGAAAAACGAAATTAGAGCTGTCATCAAGTACCTCTGTTTGAAAAAAATGTCTTCAAAAGACATACACAGTGACTTAGTGGAAACATTGGGGGACTCTGCTCCTCCATATTCTACAGTTGCACGCTGGGCCAAGGAGTTTAAACTGGGCAGAACATCCACTGAAGATGAACATCGCGAAGGACGCTCATCCACGTCCCTCACTGAAGACAACGTGAAAAAAGTCGAAGATGTTGTTTTGGCAGATCGAAGAGTGACCATGTAGCTGAGGTCACAGGGATCTCATATGGCAGCGTTCAAAGAATCCTTGCGAACGAGTTGCATATAAAAAAAGGTCTCTGCGCGTTGGGTACCCAGAATGTTAACCGACGAGCAAAAGAAAAATCGAGTTGACATTTCGAGGGTCAATCTCGAAAAGTTCCAAGCAGATCAAGAAATTTTTTGTTCCGTTTTGTGACTATGGACGAGACCTGGATCCACCATTTTGATCCTGAAACGAAACAACAGTCGATGACTTGGAAGCGAGCCTCCTCACCGACGCCAAAGAAATTCAAAGTTTCAAGTTCGGCGGGAAAGGTTATGGCATCTGTTTTTTGGGACGCTCTAATTATGGTGGAATATTTGGAAAAGGGAGCCACTATTACGGGCTCTTACTACACTAAATGCATTGATTTGTTAGGAGACTATGTAGAAAAATAAATTATTATTTTAACTTTAATTACCGTGTTTTATTTTCATTAACATTACTTTTGGATCACCCCCCGTATTTGTGTAGTGTTAGGTTAACTACAAGAAGGACTGTAAAATTGCTTGTCGCATTTTTTCGACCAAAATTCGATCGATTCTATCGATTTTCCCAAAATTTCTACAGTAACAGGATTATGCCACTACCTACAGGATAGCAACACGTTATCGAACAAAATGGTACATATTATATATTATAGTTAAATGTAATTAAACTTTGAAAAACATTGTATATAAAATAGAAAGAATATTTTTCCTGACTTTATATAGTATGCATTTGTATTAAAAGTAACCCACATGAAGATTTTCGCTGTTTTGTTAAACTTTTTGTTTTTTAATCAGTAAAAGTAGAGGGTATTGTGTACTAACAAGTTACTCGTACCAATATATCTATTAATGGTCAAAATAAATTATTCTTATTCATACTTCATTTTTTCATGACATTACTACTACAACCAACGTTATAACCTAACCAAGTTTTTGGTAGCCTGTAATGAAATGCATACATTATATTGGTTTTGTAATTTGCCATAGTTGCCATGTTTGGCAAGCGGGTTGGCAACTGTAGTTATATTCAGAAATGCAAACATTATATTGGTTTTGTAATTTGCCATAGTTGCCATGTTTGGCAAGCGGTTTGGAAATTGCAGTTACATACAGAAATGCGTACATTATATTGGTTTTGTAATTTGCCATAGTTGTCACGTTTGGCAAGCGGGTTAGGAACTGCAGTTACATTCAGAAATGTATACATTTCTGAATGTAACGGCAGAAATGCTTACATTATATTGGTTTTGTAATTTGCCATAGTTGTCACGTTTGGCAAGCGGGTTAGGAACTGCAGTTACATTCAGAAATAGGTAAGGGCGGTGCCTCCACATACGGATTCATAGACAGAAAAGGTGTCCCACCACCCAGCAATAGCTTTATTTTTACGAGTTCATATGATTTTAAGTGTAACAACAACAAACCCTAATATTACATCCTAATAATAGTTACAATACCTCATATTAACAACAATACCTAATATAGTCAATAAAGTAAAACGTATAAAATAATATCATAAAGCTACTTCAAAATACTTTATTGGTCTACCAAAATTAGTTATTAATGAAGAAGCTCATGTATAGAACGGGTAGATAAAAAAAGAAAGAAAGAAGAAGAAAGATAAGAACAAAGATTAATTTGAAACTCAAACTATACATAGAATTAGTCTATATTATCATAGAAATATAAAAAAACTTCTGTGTTGTATCTATGGGCTCTATACATCCCACAGTTTCGTATATATATATATATATATATATATATATATATATATATATATATATATATATATATATAACAACACGTAACATAATTAACGCACTTTGAGAAAGTAGTTTGTTCAGAATGGTTTACTGAATCAATTCCTATGATTTTTAATATAGGTAATTTTTTATCCCAAAAATAATTAAAACTACGTAAATTACAGTCACACTAAAGTACAGTCAAAACAAACTGAAATGGACCGTAACTTAAGGCAATAAGACTTTTAAGAGTGCAGTTTTATTTGTATTATTACTAATTGTCATTCAATAAAAATAAATAAAAATTAAATTTGATTTGTCATAGCGTGTTAAAATCTTTGCGTTCGTGAATTTGTACTGTGACCACAACATTCTTCCGGAATTAGTATAACTAATTTGATAAATAATCAGTGTATAAAAATGTTTAACTAAAAATTCAGTGTATGTATTATGATTATAACATAATATACTAATCGGGGTGTCTGAGGGTGTGCGTTAATTATGTTACATATTGTATATATATATCAGAAAAAAAATCCTACCTTCATAAAGTCTGGAACATAGTTGCCCAAACAGAATGTCATGTCGCCAATGTCGTTGTGTCCTGCAGTGACGGTGTCATCTAGCGTGGTGTCGCAGTTAATGGGTGGCATCTCGTCTAGCAGGTTGCCCCGATCGACCTCCTCGTCAGTTTCCATGTTGTTTCCTATAACATACGCAGCACAATGTAGTTGTGACGTTATACTCGGTAGAGCCACGCTGCAACTATATTATGGTTGTTGCACGAGTGGGTCGGCTTTATCGGGGAAGGACCGCGCTTTCACAGAATGCAAGCGTAAAAATGCTGCTGCGTTTTGCATGGTGAATGTAGAGAACCGAGGACCCTTTTTCATTAGGTAACGAGGCATTCCATATTAGTCCTCAGGGGTGAAAACGCAGCTGTATTTGTTTCTTAATCGAGGATAGATTATAGATGTACATGCGCCACAGCAACCATTTACCATCAGGTGGTCAATATGCTCTTTTGTCACCCTTATTCTATAACAAGTGGTAAAATTAAAAAATTTGTACAACCGACTTCAATGTAGTCGAAGTCAATTAAATACGCATTATTAAGGATAACTCAAAAACTTCAGATCTTGATCGATCACATGAGAAGCACCAGCTTTCAAATAAAAAAAGAATCTACAATATCGGTTCAACTAGAAAAAAGTTATGAGGTAACACACATAAAAAAATACAGTCGAATTGAGTACCTTCTCCATTTTTTGAAGTCGGTTAAAAAAGACAACGCCAACGCAAGGTAAGCACAACGACAGCATAGTTCCAAAAAGCTTGTAACTGTGAACAAAGTCTGATAGGCTAAGTTGGGGTTCCGAAAACATTACATAGTAGGTATACAGATTATATTGTATTAGAATATAATGGCGGCCCCGTAGATCATGGACGGAGAAAAAAATATACAGGATTTTTTCTAAAAAACAAATTATAGGTAACGCCACGAGTGATGGAAGTGCGCAGAACCGAAAAATAGGTGTCGGCACGGTGAGGTGTGAGGTACGGGGAAGCGAAACCATAGCAACGGGCGACGCGCTACTCCCAAGTAGTTTCTTCATACGTCCCGTCGCCCGCGCACCTTCTTGTGTCGTCTTGTGTACTATCGATATCGAAAGTGTTAGCGACAACCTGTTATAAAATTTTAAATTTTTGCTATTACTTATGTACTTTTAAAAATATTGTTCTATAATATTTTCAAATAGTGTGCAAATATTTATTATTTTATAAATTATTTTGGGACTATTTAAAATAGCGTAGTTCGTAGTATATTGTTTAAAGTTGTAAATATTTTGTTATTTTCTACAAGGATGATTTTTTTTGCAAATTATTGCACGTAAAATATCCTTATAATCGAAGGCTATCGCATAGTATAGTTTAAATAGCAATCACAAATACAAAAATACAAATACAAAACATTTTAAGTGTACATAAAATGCAGATTATTATTTAGAAGCAGTTAAAACCTAACGATGATATATAAATATATCGTTCAGTTTTCGTGGAGACTTTGATATGTAGGTAGTTATAATGTTGACCTTTGACTTTTTACATATTAAAATGCCATAATAAAATTTGTGAAAAAGCAGTGAACTCTATTTAATTTCATCTTACGTAGCACGACTTATAATAATATATTTTACGATCGATACAAGTCAAAGTAACAAACTCTTTTTCTCTGTATACTGAACTTTGGTCGACGTTAGAAAGGAAATACTTTTTCTGTCGTGATTTATATATATATATATATATTATATATATATATATATATATATTATATGTTTAGGCCCAATCGTAACAACTTGAGACGAGTCTTTGCATTGGGCCTAAGCGCTCGTCTCGGGCGAGGAACCGGTTTGACGGGTCGAGCCGAGCGGGCGGCGGCCGTGCAAATTTAGTTTAGAACAATCTTTGTCCGCGACGGCCGTATAGATTAGAATCGTTACGTCGCATTAAGACTGCCTCCTTTGTGTTGTATTATTTCGTTCATATACGTGACAACGAGGCTTTCCTTGAGTTTGAGTGACTAATTTAACTTCGATTTCCATTAATTTGCGTCGACGAGTAGCTTGTGTAGTATTTTAATATCGTACGAAGGAATTTTTGCTTTGTCGGGTGGAACACTAAACTTTGTGACCCGGGAGGAGATCGCGTTCGATTATATTTTGTGCTAAGTGAGGTCAGACTTGAGTTCAGATAGCGGTGAACGCCCAATGGAGTGATTGCGCCTTGTGGAGCGGGGCAACGCATGTGGTTCTGCTGACCGATTACATCGGTGACGTCAGGTTACATTACACACTTTCCTACACCACTCACACCTAACATTTACTTGCCCCTGAGGGTACCTTGTGGTCGACCACACCTCCGTAACTCGGTAAGTTTGTGTTTGCTTGGCCAGCCATTACATAATAATTATCCATAGGCCATTTGGGCCCGAACCCTCGGGTTGCCCATCGAGTTGGGTTACTATGGGCCCTAGCCCAGTCGACTTCTGTCGGGGCAACTGAGGGCCGTAACAGTTAACGTTAAGCCAAAATAGCACAAAAATATTTATTTTGTTTTAATGAAGTGAAGTTGATAATAACGTGAATGTTATTGCCAATTTAAACGTATTCGTATTTTGACTTTCGTCTGGTCTGACTGTTGCTGCTCAACACAGACCACCCAGCCTACCAGCATCCTCTCACCATCAGGTGGGCTGTGTGCTCGATTGTCACCCAATGCTATAAAAAAATTGTTAATAGGTAAAATACCCAAAGAACCTGAAAAAGACGAATACAATTAGAAAATTATCTGATATTAATATGTAATGGAAATCGCAAAGCCTTTTTTGTTATTTCTATGACCAGCTCGTATAAAAGCAGCGCTAAATATAACTTGTGCAAATTTGTTGTGTTTATATTTATATGCAATGGCAGCCCTAGCAAAATTTTTAGGTGGTGCGAGATCTCATAGTGGCGCCCCTTTAAATACAAAACCTAAGTGTTCCTATACTATACAAGTGCTTTTTGTGATTTTAAATAGTTTTAGACTTATCAAATATCTACAGGTGTAAATGCGGGGCTAGGTAGCACAGTTGTGTCTGTCACTCTTGCTATAGCAGTTGTTCTGCTTATTTGCGTTAAAGAAATGTCAAATACGCCCGCACTGTTGCGCTCGACAACGCTACTATGGTTGCCTTGCTGCGGTGACTAGTTGTAAAGATTATTTCTCATAATGAGTTAAAAATCTTGTTTGACAACTTTTATTTAAACTGTTGTTCTGCAGACAGTGTTAAAAAAGATAAAAGAACTGCCAACAACAAACTTAATGAAAAGCCTAGACTGCCAGCTTTCTGGCTTATGCGCTTGCAATTTTTTTATTAATTCTGGATAATTTAACTTCTGAACAATAGAATTTTCTATGGAAAAGGTTCCAAGATATGACAGTCTTTCCTGACACATAGAAACGCAGGTAATTTTTTAAATGTGTTAATGTATTTGAACTTCGTTTTCGTTCAGCGACAGTTATAGTATGTACAGCAAGATACGAAGTGCTATCTACACATTTGTGAAAAATATCCTGCCAATCATTATTTTTAATAAGTCTAAGAACTTTATGTGACTCTGCTGATTGAAGATCTTTAAATAATAGGTTCAAAGCTCATAAGTTCCTGAACCAAATTATAACTAGACATATCACATTATGCCTATCTATTCGACTAATTTGCAAATTAACACAGGCTTTTTGACCTTTCATTAATCTTTTTTTGTATAAAAATGAACACGTATCATAGAATTTTGATAGTGTAAGTCAAGTAACCAATGCACTTTAATTGTATCAATCATAGGGTTAACTTTTTAAACAATTAGGACAGGGCTTTTGACCTTTTTTTTTTTTTGTATAAAAATGAACACGTATCATAGAATTTTGATAGTGTAAGTCAAGTAACCAATGCACTTTTAATTGTATCAATCATAGGGTTCAAAAAAAACTTTTATTTTAAACAATTGTTTAGGATCAGTTGGTGTCTCATCTACGGCTTCGTACACAAATAATATTTTCTTTCTTCGGGATTCTTATTATGGGAATATTTTGAAGAAGCTGCTGACGTATCAACCAACCAGCATAATGATCCTAAAAATTCAGAGTTAGATCTTTACTTAAACGTACCAAGGGCCGCAAGAGATGTAAATCCATATAAATGGTGGGTTTCTAATAAAGGCCATTAACCCATCTTGGGAAAAGTTGCGGCGTAATACTTATCAACACCTGCCAGTTCAGTTTACAGTGAACGGCTTTTTTCAGAGGCGGGCTTAGTATATTATGTTTGCTTAGGAGCAAATTAGACCCAAATAGGGCCGAACTAACAAACTAAAAAAACTAGTGTTTTGCATCAAAATCTTCTTCTCTTGAATTTGAAATATTAGTAATAATAATTTTTGTTATAGATTCTTATGTACGTTCTCAGTATTTCCGCTGTTTTTCATGTTTTAACGTGTCTATAATAATGATAAAAACTGGCTTTTTGTCTTTTTTTTTTGGAATATAATTAAAGCCGAGTACTCGATACTCGGTCGTTAACCGAATCCACCGAGTACCGAATCCAAACCAAGAACTCGATAGAGCGCTGAGCGAGTTCGTTGCCATCGAAAATCTATTCGGCAGGAGGAGAAACGAGACAGGCAGCTGTATGATCTGGAGACTCGAAGGATAGAGGTTGACCATGAGCGTAACCAAGTGTTACGCATGTTTGCTGACATAACACAAGCATGGTTTGACCACTATCGGAGTAAAGATAATACGGAGCAATTAGATCATACTCCATAGGTACGTAATTCATGACGTCTGTATTCCACGGAAGGTTAGGCAGAGTTGTACTGTACAGCCACATTTCGCCAATTATGTTACAAGTATTATGTAACAGGTGGTGAGCCTATTGCCGTTAACCGGACACAAATTCAGACTCCAAGCTGACCCGGGGTCAAGACACTGCCCGACCCAGGAATCAAACCAGCGACCTCACGCTTAGATATCGGCTACTATTGAAATTCGTCTGTAAAAACTATTTTAACATAATGTTAGAAATACTTTATTTTCAACTGCTTTAAAAAAAGTACTAATTGGACTTTTTTTAATTCAGACTTCAAGCAGCTACTGAGAAATTTATAATGGAAAAATTCAATAATACTGCCTGACCCTGGGATCGAATCCGCGACCTCACGCTTAGATATCGGCTACTATTGAAATTGGTATGTAAAAACTACTTTAACATAATGTTAGAAATACTTTATTTTCAACTGCTTTAAAAAAAATTAGTACTAATTGGACTTTTTTTAATTCAGGACTCCAAGCAGCTACTGAGAAATTTCTAATGGAAAAATCCAATAATTCTGCCCGACCCGGGGATCGAATCCGCGACCTCACGCTTAGATATCGACTACTATTGAAATTCGTCCGTAAAACTAGTTTAAGATAATGTTAGAAATACTTTATTTTCAACTGCTTTAAAGATTTTTAAATTTAGTACTGATAGTATGTTTAGTCTAAAAGTTTAATATTGTCATTTATTTAGTATATAGTTAAGTTTATGTTAAAACCTCCTAATTAAAGCCTCACTGAAGAACCAAATAAAGGAGTTTAGAGGCATATCAGACTATACAGCCTATGTTAATATGACATTACCTGGTTATAGCAAGAATTGGACAATCATACAAATATATGTCCCAATAGAGCAAGCTAACCCTAGTGATTTAGAGCACTTCTAACATACCCTCGGCGAAACAATAAATAAAGTAAAAAATAACCATATCATAGTAATAGGTGACTTTAATGCTTATGGTTGGAATAAGTAGTGGCAAAGATAATGTTGTTGGTAATTTCGGTAACGGTAAGAGAAGCAAGAATTGGCAAAGAATGAATGATTTCATGCTAGGAGCTAATTTTACTGTACTAAAGAGCCTCTACAGAAAGAACGACATAACCAAATGTATTTGGAAATCACCGGATGGATTAAGTCAGGAGGAGACCTTCGTCAATAAACATTCCGGAATCAAGGACTTTATATAGTAAATATATTGTTATGTTAATAGTTTCCTTATGCTAAGTCTTGTTTTTAATTAATTTAAATATTTAATAATAATAAATTAAATAAATAAAAGTAATTTTTCTAATTATTTTGTATAAGATGTACTTAATATCAAAAATGTATTCATTAATTACTTCATTTAAAATGTGATGTGTTATAGTAGTTTCTAATTGATAATGTTATTACTAAATGAATAAGGTAAAAAAATTGTTAAAAAAGAAAATTTAGTTCTAGTTTTGATTTTGGAAATAAAAGGCTATTTTGTGTTTATTTTTTCTATTTTATTATATTACAAATGTCACTCATAGGAGAAAAAAAGATTGGCTGTTAATAAATTTAATTACTTAAAAACTGCATAAAAAGTGTTATTATAATATAAATGAATACATGGTTGATAATAAACCCTGGGAATGAGGTGTTTGCTTCAAAGTTGTTTCTAAAATAAATTTTGTAAATAGTTTGTAACCAATAATTTCTCCTAGGACAGAGGTTGTTTCCGAACCAGTTGTAAAGTAAAAATGACTTTCAATAACAATTACATGTGATCTATATTGAATAAAAATCATTCTATTCGATTTTAGGGCTGACACCATAATAAGAGTTTTTTATAACGATGTGTACAATGTCTGCCTTTGGTATTACTCCACTTTTTTGTAACACTGTATATTAATATTTTTCTCCATAATCAACCATCAAGCTCGGTGGATATTTTTATTTTATTATTTTGATCTTGATTCTGAAGAAGTATATTATATCTATAGTAAAAAATTATATGTTTTTATAAATTAAAAAAAAACAATTGCCGTTCGAGACATTTTTAGAATTGACCATTCTGCACCAGCCATTTTATTTATTATTCGTCTAAAGAATCTGTTACATAATTTCTATCGATCTCTCGAACTATCGATAATTTTTGTAGAAAATCGAATATTTATTTTTAAATTAAGAAAAAATATATTTACGTATTTAAAAAATAGCAATACGAAAATATGTTGGTACATAATATTTTCAAAATAAGAAAACAAATATATAGAGATATTTTAATAATAAGAACATTTTAAAAATACGAATACAAAAATTTAAGCGTGCGACGGGATTCGAATCGCCAGCCACCGGGGTACCTCGCAACTGTACAGCGGCGCGTTGGGCCAAACGTATATTACACAAAAGTGCGAAATTACGCATTTATATGTAATGGACGTCGCACATCGGCGAAATTCGTGCGGTACGCATCCCGCAGTGAGCGAGACTACTCATCCCCCACTCATCTGCTTCACCCCCTCTAGTACATAAAAGTCGTCTATTCACCGCGTCTTAATGCAGCAAAAATGATAATAAGTTTATTATTTTATTATTACTTTATGTTTTTGAGTAGCCTCATAAACATATTGGCCTTCAAACAGGGCAAAATAAAAGTTTCCTTACTTAAATTATTACGAGTAAGTTTACTATTGATATTTAGGTTGGCATTTCCAATATGGACCATCGATATTTGAAGTTTTTGGGGGGGAGGGGGGGAGCGAGGGCTACCCCCTTGTGCTAACCCCACCCTGTGGAACCCCATGGTTATGGAGATATTCAAGGTGGGATAGGGGCGGTAAGATTAAATGAAGGTAAGGGTGGGGATTATGGGATGGAAGGGGGTTGTTTTGGGCGGGGGGGGGGGGGGTTGCGCCAAATATCGATTCATCTATTTAAACCACTTTATTAGGGTCACCTATCTTCCCTTGGGCCCTTTGATTTTCCAGTTCATAAATGGAAATTGTTTCCCGGCAATAACCGGACCAGTCAGCCACAGTTCTGCCAGAAACTACTAGGCCATCATCACAGGCTAGCTCCTTCCTCGTTTGGTGGTAAGACAGTCCCTCACTAAATGCATACATAATTTGAAATATTAAAGTGAGGAACAAGTGTGCATTTTCAAACCAGGTCCCAATAGCACAAGAGACTGTTTTGGTGCGGCAGTTGCTTTTCTGGCATCAAAATTTTCCAACTTGCCCTGATTCTTTTGTCAAAATCATTGGCTTCTGGTGGTATGCGCAGATTTTGTCTAATGGGATGAGTCCTCTCTCCTCCGCAAACTGAACACACTGTTCGTGTGTACTCAATTTGGAGAAGATCTTTCTCCAGTTCCACATGGATCTAAAAAAAAGGTATTGTATGTGTTTTGGAAATTATATTTAGATACAAATTACATACTGATGAAATATGAATAGGTAATACTTTTTGATCTTATCCACATAATAGAAAAAACTGAACTGCTTATTAGAATAAAAATTCATGAGTCAATTAGTTTATTTTATTTATTTATTTTAATTTTATTAAGAAAACCAACAGCTTTACAAATTATATATCTTATAACTATGTTAAATGTAGTAATGCCAATAACAGGTTTCTCTTAAATTGACAAAGGGCACTGTAACAATCAAACTTTGTTAGTGCTAAAGTTAACTCTATAAATATTACAAGGAATCAAGAATCAAGGATGCCATCCACTTAAACCTATCAATATTATAGATAATTAAGTAATTACTCTAAACTACAATACGTAACGTAATTAACGCACACCCTCAGACACCCTAATTAGTATATTATGTTATAATCATAATACATACACTGAATTTTTAGTTAAACATTTTTATGCACTGATTATTTATCAAATTAGTTATACTAATTCCGGAAGAATGTTGTGGTCACAGATCCACGAATGCAAAGACTTTAATGAGCTTGAAATAAAGTTCATTTTTCTTTATTTTTATTGAATGACAGAATTAGTAATAATACAAATAAAACTGCACTCTTAAAAGTCTTATTGCCTTAAATTACGGTTCATTTCAGTTTGTTTTGACTGTACAGATTTAGTGTGACTGTAATTTACGTAGTTTTAATTATTTTTGGGATAAAAAATTACCTATATTAAAAATGATAGGAATCGATTCAGTAAACGATTCTGAACAAACTACTTTCTCAAAGTGCGTTAATTATGTTACATATTTTATATGTATACATGTTTCCGAAAGTAATATATAAATACAACCCATTATAGACATACACAGAGATAATGACACAAGATAAAGACAAAAAATGACAAAAAAGTTTAAGTAAAACTTTATTAAAATCCCAACAAGATTCAAATTGGATCAATTCACTTCTTTATTGCATAACTTAATCTATTATATAGCATAATTGTGGTTGGAGCTTCCTTTTAAAAATAATAGAAAATTAGTTATAAAATTATAGAAGTATAAATTAAAAATTTGATTGATTAATTATACACCCTTTTATAACCTGACCTGACCTGACATAACAATGATATTGTACAGTAATCATAACATAAATCAAAACTTAACTCATCTGAGTAAAGATTAAGCCTTCTGCCAGATGACCCAGTAGGTCTGGGCATCGCAGCAGCAAATTCCTCGCCCTCGTCCTCCGCAGAACTAGCAATAGCTGATAGGCTACCACAAGAACCAGCTGCTCCACTGGGACCAGTCATCACACTAGGACCAGCAACCAGTTCGTCAAGGACTTGCACTTGCGTAGTAGTAGGCACAAGCGGCTCTATTGAGTCTAACACTTGCGCACTACTTGAAGATGGTGCAGAAGAGGAAGCCGTGACAAGTGGCTGATTTGAGTCCAACACTTGCACTTGCGTAGTAGTAGTCATAGGTACTACTATGCAAGGTAGGTAGTAGGCAGAACAAGAACAAAACTTACAGACATTCTTACCCGGATAGACGTCCAAAAATGGAGATGGGCTGGACATTTGCTACGCCACATTAACAAACGGAGCAAGCAAGTCACTCTCTGGCAACCAAGAGATGGCAAAAGAGGCAGGAGTCGTCAAGTCAGCAGATGGGAAGACGACTTGAAACAGACAGCGGGACCATTCTGGCTGAGAGTAGCAAGGGACAGGAACCATTGGAAGAATTGGAGGAGGCCTATGCCAAAAGGCACACCGAACTTAGGGACTTCTTGTAACCCTATGCTTAGGAATAAAAGGCCATTATTATTATTATTATTATTATTAGTAGTAGGCATAAGCAACTCTATTGAGTCCAACACTTGCGCACTACTTGAAGACAGCGCCGAAAAGGAGGCTGTGACAAGTGGCTCATTTGAGTTCAACACTTGCACTTCACTCAACTCTTCAGACACAGAAGTCTCCGAAGCCCGATGCTTCGGAGACTTCTGTGTCATGGTATCTGGCATGGTAGTCAAACGTTGTAAGCTTACAGTAGTACGTAAAACGATCTCAACTGCAAGGGCAACGGTCGACAATGATGTCGTTTTGCGGTTCTTTCTAAGCAGTGTAAAAACAAATTTAGTGATCCGCAAAAAGTATCGATACCTGATTAGTATCGATACTTTCATTTCAATACCAAGTATTTTTGTACTCGATACACTTTTTACGAATAACTAATCTTTAGCTAAATTATCAGCAATTTCATTGCCCTGAATCCCGCAGTGGCTAGGGATCCAAGCCAATGTTCATCCCTTTTTTATGACAATAGTACAGAGACTTTCTAATATTTAAAATTAGCGGGTATCTAATCTTAGAGTGCAAAGGAGTAGATACAATACTTTGAAGGCAACTAAGTTTATTGGTTATAGAGGGGGGGGGGGGGCTAAGAAGCCGGGAAGTTGTGCTCCGGTGCTGCGGGATGAGCAGTGCCTCCGCCCTAGCGTAGGGAAGCACAGGCACCTGAGCTCGCCTTCGCAGCTTCGGCATTTTGGACCAGCCTCAGCCGCTACGGCGATCTCGGTGCCTGCACTTCTCTACGGTGGGCGGGCACTGCTCTCCTTCCGCAACTCCGGGCTCTTATATACACTCTAGGGGTAGGAAAGACAAGACCACGTGGATAGTGGGCTGCTGATTCGGTTTTGGGTATGTTTTGGGTACTTTTTGGATATTAAATATGTAAGTAAATAAGTAAGTAAACACTTTATTGTAGTAAGAATTAAAGGTTGCAAACATGCAAGTACTAAGGTGAAACTAAAATAGAGTAAACTTTATTCTATTGTATACACATATTTAATTGCACTTATCAGCTTTTCATATGCATCTAAATGGTTAATAATAATTTTTCGTCTCCAAAATTAGCGAAATGTACTCGATACCAAGTAGTATTGATACTTTTGATGCGAAACTAGGTATAGAGTAGGTATTGATACTTTCAAAATTTTCGGAACCCTACACTCGTTTGACATCAATCATTTGTCAAATTTATTTTGTAATTGCGTGTTATTTGCCAATTTATATGAAAAGTTGAAAAAAATATATCTCATGAACCATAAGTTTCCGCAACCTAAAACTTTGCAAAACGCGTTCTTTTAGTGAGTACTATCTACAAAAAAAAATATGGGCTTTGAAATCGATGGTCCATATTGGAAATATTAGCCTAATACTGCTTTAACTCAACCCAACTCAGTAAGTAAACAACACACAACAAAAAATATAAAGGTACACAATATATGTTATTTATACACAATATATGTTATTTTTTATAAGTAAATTCCCATGTATATATTTTATCTTACCTTGTTAACAACTGTTTTTCCAGCTGGAAGAAGACCAAAATAGAGTTTATTCACTTTACCATAACGATAAAAATTAATACGTAAGTGAAATTGGGGAGACTAATTCTAATTTCTAATTATGACATCAAATTATTATAAAAAAATAAAACACAGTTACTTTAAAAGCAAAACAGTAAGAAAACTTTGTTAAAAACTTACGCCGATTTAATCATAGATTACTGAATATATACTAGAGAGATTTAATAAAATAAAAATTAAAATATTTCCCCGTTGTGTACGATTTTTAAAACCATTGACCACCATTGACTAGTCTTCTTTTGACTTATGTCATAATAATAATTATTACTGTATTTACTGGCTTTACAGCTCTGGGTTCTAGCCATTCTGAGCCGAACATTTCTTTCGTAATCTTCGTTTATATATATATATTCTTCACAATAATTATGCTGATGCGTCACATTGCGAAGTTTTTGGGAGATTTTGGTAACAGCTTTACCCAACGGACAGTTGATGACGACAGCGACTCAAGTTCATAAGGCGCCCAAGAGATCAAATTAAGGTTTATATCAACATCAAAGCACTTGTTTCGTCGTTTTCTCAAATATTTAACACGCGCCGACACTTAATTAACAAAATCACATAACTTTTATGAATCAAACTGTACTTCAAACCATTATTCAAGCGACAAAAAAGGAGCGGTAAACCGTCGACGGCCAAGTTCCCGCCAAAACCCCCTTATGTCGTAATAAGTGATTACCACTTATTCAAAGAGAATATAATAACTATGTTTTACCTGGAATTTGTACTAGATCTATGGTTTAACCACTCACCGTAGACAAAGAAACCTATAGACTAATGATCGGCGTGGCCTCGAGTGAGAAAGGACGATAACGAATTTTTAGGTTATACAATAATCTTTATGACTTTTAAACATATTTAGATAAAAAATTTAATTGTTCTAAGAACTGAACTGAACAAGATTCACCAATCTTAGGCTCACAAAACACTTCTCACTTAAACCAACTTGTAAACTCCTTCGCTACGCTTTCAAAGTTGTTTTGCAAACTGTAGAGTTTGCTAAACAAAAAAACCGGCACGGTGAAAGGGACAAACAATCACACCACTCTATCTCATTTCTATGCAAGACGTATGCATAAAACTATCTTTTTCGTGTGCGAATGCGAAAGAAGGCGTCAATTTGTCTATAGGTTTCTCTGTTTACGCCACTCACGTACTGACAGTGTAATGCGTAGACAGAGAATACTTTAGTTTATACAAAGGTACTCTTGGAGACTTATACATAGGCAAAGCGTGTCGCAAAAAGGAGACAAACGTCACTATATTTAGGGTTACAAGTGTAACGAAAAATTTACCCCACAACTAATCATAAATTAGAAATAAGTACGTAAAGACAGCCTAAAAAGGGACACAGCTATTACCGATTATCATTGATAGTAGTACAGGCATGGAGATAGTATAGGCATGAGGGGGAGAAGACATGCTGTCAAACTTAAATCAAATGCGATGAGGGCAGGAGGGTAAGGATGTATGATGATGATGTGGTTCCGAATAGCTGCTATTTCTTATGTTGTGGCTTCGTGAGTAAATAATATAATACGTTGATTATATTTACTCTTACATTTACATTTTATTTATTATTGTCCTTTAAGCAAAACGAGCTTCGTATGAAGGTTTCTAATTTTTTGCTTGGGGTCAAATGCTTTTGTTGCGTGATGTATACCATGACCATCCACATACATTTTGTTCCATTCCATTGGACGTGTCTCCTTATAGCCATCTCATCCATGCTTACTAGTAGATGACCGTAGGTCAACAACAGGATTAGGTCAACAACGGGATCAATCTGAAATCAAGTGATTTGTATGTTAAATTTGCCACACTTTTGGTTTGATAATGAATTAATGTACCAAGATTATAACGAAGGTAGTTTATTTTAATACTGTAGAATACATTGCAAAATACTGTATTAAGTCGAGGGAAAACAATATCATTTTTATTTAATATTATTTACTTACATGAATGCTTAAATTATTTTCAACTAGCTGTTACCCGCGGCTTCGCCCGCATCGTCACTGGGAAATAAATTATTCATTGCTTTTCGAATTGAAAGAAAATTGAGTTTTATAGATTTGTCAGAGATGCAGCCATTAAAGGGAAACTGAGCAAAAGATATATTTAAATGTTTTGAAACGCAGCGTATAGGAAAGCATGAAAATAGCCTGTTTGTTCCAAATGGAAATGGGATATTTTTTTTAATTAAAGGAAACTGAGCATAATTATCCGTCAGGAATGCATACTTTTGAAAAGCAACTGAGTTAAATTGATACGTCAGAGATGCAGTTTTCTGAATTGAAAGGAAACTGAGCCAAATAAAAGATCCGTCAGAGATGCAGCCTTTTGAGTTGAAAGGAAACTGATCTTAATAGGTCCGTCAGAGGTGCAGCATTTGGAATTGAAAAGAAACTGAGCTAAATAGGAAATTTTGAATTGAAAGGGAACATCTGTGGGAATTCTGATTAATTGATTGTGGGAATTTTGAAAAAAAACTAACTGAACACTTTTTTAAGACGCTATTGTACACATTGTTATACGTTTTTCCATACGGGGAAAGAATGTGGAGATTCTGGGCATTTGACACATGCGAACATGCTACATACAGCTGACCATGAGAGAAGCACGGTTTTTCTAAGTTGACCCTCACTACCTGTAACGTTTGCCCTTGCGCTTTACTAATTGTCATTGCAAAACTGAGCTTAATAGGGAACTGCAACCTTTCGAATTGAAAATTAAGATCTGTGGGAATTATAGGGATCCGTGGTATAATAATATTTTCACCTTTTCCTACGCCTGTCAAAATTGTAGCACCGATTACGTTCCGTCCAAGATGTGTCACATGTAGCTTTGTCCCGTTACATAACCGAGGAGCATCTAAATTTCGCATTAGCATGACTGGGACGCCTAATTTTAATTGCAGCCTGTGTGAGGGCACACCCAGTGGCGAAGCTTCCATTAAAGCCGAAACGCCGGGCTTGCCTTATTAAACCTAAACCAATCAATAATATCAATCAATAATATCAACTAATAAAATAACTCATAAAATGTTTC